CCCCCCCCCCCCCCGCCCGCCAAACGCCCAGCACCCACCGTCACTGTAGTCCTGCAGGCCGAAGGGGACGCCGTATCGGCGGGGGTAGGTGCCCCCCTTCCCCGACTTCTCCAACATGGGGATGTCGTACTCTGCAGAGAAAACCAGCGCTGCAACTCAAAAAGCTTTATTCAGCCCCCGGGGAGAACAAACTAAAGCTAAAGTAGTTAGCTATGCTAGCAGATAGCATAACACATAGCATGGAATATGGCATAACATGTAGTATATAGCATGGCATATAGCATAGCATATAATATATAGCATGGTATATAGCATAGCATTTAGTATATAGCATGGTATATAGCATAGCATATAGTATATAGCTTGGCATATAGCATAGCATATAGAAGCATCTTCAGCATTTCTGCCTGCAGATGTGTAGCAGCTGCTTCACATGTGCAGGCTTAGTCTATGTTCAGTTTTCCAACAGGTGCCATTAGCTCAGGTTTTGGGGCAGAACAGGAAACACATCCCAGCTAAGGCTGAAGGCTAACCTGGAAAGTCCTGGTGGTTGTCGGGGTAACTCTGCGCTCGGGGCATCCTGGACTTCGGGTAGTCACTGAAAAATGAAGAAGCAGAAAAACAAAAGTGATTTGAGGTTTTCCTTTGGGTCTTTTCCTCTGAGGCTGCCAGCTGACCTGTCCAGTGGGCTGTCCAGAGAGGGACAGCTGCCAGACGCCGAGTTTTCTGGGCTGCTCATGGACAGCGGGTCCAGCATCTGGAGGAGAGAGGACAGCTCCAGTCATACTTTCATCAAAGCAGCACCTGTCAAAATGACTTTTTTTGGTTTGTTTCTCTGTTCAGCTGCTGCTTCTTTGCGTCCTGCCGAGCAGATGAGCTTTAATTAGCTGATCGGCTAGCAGGGAACTTTAGCATTAGCTTAGCTTGTCAACTTCCCAGGCCTGACAGTTAGCTGTGCTGCCACCCACTTGGTGTTTTTATGTTTCTGTGTTGTGGTTCCTCCATTTGACCCCCCAGCTGAGGAAAAGCATGTTTTCTTTAGCTGAAATTACGAGTTATCCTTTGAATTCCCAAAAAACAAATACAAATCCTAACAGTGTAACGCTGAATTATTTGAGTCTATTACAGATTATCAGTAGCACAATTTGGACAAAGACAACGAAACACAAAACTGGATTAAATGCTCGACATCACATACAGTAAAATTCTGTGGGAAGACCTCTAATAAATAGCAAGAACACTGCAGGTTAAAAGGAGTAAAGACACATTTTTCATTAAATAATGCTCAGGTCTTGTCAACTGAGGAAGTGGGCCAGAACAACACTGTATAATCAGATAATTACTTATGAAATAACATGCACGCATCCAGAAAATGAGTCCAGGTCATGAACATCTCCTTTCGTTTAAAGGGAAATGAACACATATTTTTCCTGAAGTGTTGTTTTTATGCTGCAGCTGTGATTTAAAGGGCAGATTTGCCTAATTAGCGTCCCGTGTCTGCTCTCAGGTAGCTGTGGCTCTAACATATCTGAGCTCTGACGCCCGGGTGGTGGGACCCGGCTCAGATGGCTCCATATGAGAGGCCTGGGTACTGGTACCTGGTCCATGCTCTCGGGGATGAACTCGCCCTCGCTGTTGATGCTGGTGAAGGAGCCGTTCCTCGCCACCTGCTGGAGGGCGTCGGGAATGTATCCAGGAGGTGGGGAGCTGCGGTCGGTAGAGTGGGACCCTGCTCAGAGGGGGGGGGGCATGAGTCAGTCACCCCCAGGCTGCCTTTGAGCCCTTCACTGGACCCCCAGCAGCAGAAAGCGCTCACCTATCAAAGCCAGCATGCTCTTCTTGTCGGCCACCCTGAAGCCTGTGTTGTCCAGCCCTTCGTGGGACGCCAGGAGCTCCATGTTGGAGGAGGAGTTCTGGGGAAACAGAAGCAAACTTCCAGCTCAAAGTGGGCTAAACGCCCCCAGAAGCTGCTCCCTGCTCTGCAGAGCTAAACTCCACAGAGCAGATGTGCCTGTGGGCCTGGAGGTCTCTGTTCTGAGCTCAGCTCCCTGACGCTCGGGCTTCTTCCTGGGCTGGGGTGGGGGGCTGACCTGAGAGGAGCTCTGGAGCACCAGCAGGATCTTCAGGCTCTTCATGTGGACACTTCGATCCAGCAGCTCCACGGCTTTGTCCAGGTCGTCCTGGGTGGTCAGAGGGATCACCAGCTGCAACAGAAAGCCCAGCTCAGGAAGAGCGCCCCCTTCTGGCCGCCGCCACTACTGCAGCCACTCAGCCCCCTACCTCGTTGTTTGTGTAGTGCAGGTCCATGGGCTGGCCAAAAGCCACCTTGGATTTGGCCCTCAGGTCCTCCAGCTTGACGGGTCGAGGAAACTGCAGGATCCTGCAGAGGAGGAGGAGGAGGAAGAGGAGGAGGAAGAGGAGGAGGAGGAGGAGGAGGAGGAGGAGGAAGAGGAGGGTGAGACAGGCGGGGGGGCTGCAGCGAGGCAGCAGGACAGAGCTGCTGTCCTCAGCGTTTCTCCTCTGTATAGCTTATTGTCATAGTGATGACAAATGTAATATTGTGTCTACTCTGTAAGTCGCTTTGGATAAAAGCGTCTGCCAAATGCATAAACATAAACATAGCCTCACCTCTTCTCCCCTTTGAACTCGAACTTCACCCTCACATCGTTCTGTTGGGAAAAAGGCCCCGGTCAGCTCTGTGCTCGTGTCCTAAGCGGCTGCTGGTGGACGGTCAGGGCACCGCGGGCTTACCTGGTTCTTGGGTGAGGAGGCTTTGGGTTTGCTCAGGTCCGACAGGAAGGTGGCCGGGCGGCTGGAGCGATGCAGCTCGGCCAGGTCCTGCATGATTGAGTTCAGGGCCTCCTGCTCATCTTTGGAGAGACACAGGATTTCAGGGTTAACTTCGCTTTCCCAAAAATAAAGGTGCACAAACAAGAGGAGCTCTGGAACTCCAGAGAGTCCAGGTTAGTCTGGGCATTCAGTGCAGCTGTAAAAGTTTTGGAGGCTCCGTGTGAGTGGGATTCTACCAGCAGCACACGCATACATACCCATCATCATGGCACGGCGATTGACCCAGGAGGCCAGGAAAGAGGATTCTCCCATCAAAGGGACTCCTGTCTCCTGCAGAACCAAAAGATGACACAAATCATCACGAACACTCAGTGGAGACACGGGTTAAAAAGCACCAGTCTGCTAAACGTAGAGCAACACAGATGAATCAGCTCAACGTTGTCAAGGCCGTATATAAACACACCGAGTAGATATTCAGAAAAACCGTTGCCTTTTTCTCCCTTCAACATTGAATGTACCATGAGGGTCTTTGCCATTAGACAAAATACATTAAATAAACACAGCAGATGGTGGAAATATTATGGGTTAATAACCAAAACAGACAGCTGATTATTTCCCTGTTGGGTTTAGTAGTCTGAGCTCAGCCTGCTGTGTGGACTTACTGAACCTTAATAAGACGCTTCAGTGGAAAAATAACCAGAGCAAGTCTCAGACGTCCGCTGGTCCATCGGAGAAGCAGCTCGGCTGGTTTCCCGAGTGTTTTGTTACAGCTCGTTACAGATGCCCTGTTGTGGTTCCTCCATTTGCCCCCGCAGCCGAGAATAAGCACCTTTTCTTTAGCTGACTTGACATTACCAGTTATCCTTTGAATATTTACTGAGGTGGTGTTTTTATGCTGCAGCTGTGATTTAAAGGGCAGGTTTTCAGCATAATTTGACCCTCAGTGTAGAATAAAAACGGTCTTAGTTATCTACGAGTTAAATATCCTGTCACACAGGTTGTCTGGAGATTATTACCCGTTAGTTATTAAACAGACTGGACACAGTAAGTGTGGAAATGTCAGTCAGCATGGCTTCAGGTGCTGAGGAGCGAGCTGGATGTTGATGGAGTCAATGGTCGCTGCTCAAGACGTCAAATCCGACCACTCCATCACGTTGATAAGAGACAAACTAAATAATATAGCCCGACTTTCTCACTGATAACGATCTCTTCGGAGTTGACCAACGAGATGCAGTCAGAGTTAACAACACAATGGCCCCCTTTAGTGGAGAACTAGCTAGCCTTAAATCAACTTGCTAGTCAAAGCCGAAAGCTAACAACTGTTGCTAGCCAGTTTTACGTTTATGGCACAGAATGTTTCAAAGTTTATTTCATATCTTGATTTGTGAGCCAGAAATGCATCTAACTACAAACTGAGAGCAGATATGGGAAGCTAAGTGGGTAGTGGCAGCCGAGAGCTGGTGGCACATCTAACTGTCAGGCCTGGGAAGTTGACAAGCTAAGCTAATGCTAAAGTTCCCTGCTAGCCGCTCAGCTAATTAAAGCTCTTCTCCTCAGCAGGACCCAAAGAGGCAGCAACAGAGGGGGCAAATGGCGATGTGAAGCCGTCTGTATCGCCCGTTTAGCTCTACCTGTCGGTGGGCTGGATCTGTTCTTACTTCCTCATCCACAGGGCCGGTGACAGGAACCCCGGGCCCCGCGGAGAGCCGCTGGAGGAAGCAGAAGTTTGGCCGTCCGCTCCCAACTTCACTCGAGTCCTGCTGGGCCACGGAGACGAGGCCCGGTGGCCGTGGGTTTAGCCCTCACGATATTTCCAGAGAAAAGCTCCGGCTGTCCGGGGCCGGCTCTCCGTGTCCGTGGGGCGGCGGGGGAGCCACTTATTCCACGGCTTTCATTTTGTGACACTTTACACGGCGGTTAACGGTAGCTTCACGCGCAGAGCAGCTTCAGTTCCATCAAGCTAACACGTAAACAACGACGACATCACCGGAAGTGCTTTCAATTCGCTGAGAAAATAAAAGCCTCACATGCCACAGTCAGACTGCTCATATTTTTAGTCAACAAGAATTCACCGGAAGCATTTGTTTTGGCTCACATCCACCTTTGGCACCGTCACATGTCAGAAGCATCCTCACAATACTGACAACTCAAACATGCTGCTCAATGAAGTTTAAGGTTTTACTATCTGGTAACTACTTTTTTAATAAGTATTCCAATATTATCATGTTATTATTAAAACATATCTGGCGTACGTTATTATAGGCGACACATACATTTTAATCTGTATTTCCACGTATGCGATAATGAATGGTTTTCCGGTCGGTCAACGTAATTTCTCACTAAAAATATGTTTTATTTAATTTCTTAAGTTATTATTATAGTTGTGCATGCATGAATACAAACAAAAAAACAAACTTCCCAACTCTTATTTTGAAAGGAGCTCGCCTAGCTTCCTGTTAGTGTGGAATCTTCACAACATCCAGCCCGGGCAGCGACGGAAAGCTAAAGCTCCATCTTTTGTCGGGAAATTTTCCTCCTCGCACAGAAAGCAGAGCCATGTCGGACACGGTGAGACCGGAGCCCGTCGCGGGGGGGCCGGGGGCCGCCTCGGAGCCGGAAAAAGGCCGCTTTGTTGGGCTGATTATCCGCCTCGGAGCCGCTTATCTAACGTGCTAGCTGTTAGCCGACGTAGCTCCAGGCCTCAAACTCACTTTATTTACCTGCTTGCAGCCAGCTTCGCTTTTCTGTTTATTTCCACCTCCGCAGCGAGACAGCGGGAGTTAGCAAAAGGATTGTTTTCAAAGCTAACACAGAAAGGAGTTAAGCGGGGTCGAAATGCATCCATTTAAACTCTCAGGCCTTCGCTGTTGTTTCTGTTCGTGGCTTGTTTCAGTCAACAACATGATCAGTTCGTGCTTGTTTAAGTTTCCATCTTTATTTCTAGGAGACAAAACCATCCAGTCAAGATGGGGGTGATAAGAAGGACGGCGAGTACATCAAATTAAAAGTGATTGGTCAGGTAGGTTTGAACCCTGTAGGTGAATTATTAGCTTGATTATAGCAAAAATGAGCATTTTTCTTCGTTTTTTCTCACTGTTAAATTACCCTGTAAATCTTGTGTTTATAAGTCATTAAACATGTGAAGACTTTGATTTATTCCTGTTAGAGAATCTGCACTAAATTGAAGTTATTCAAACACATGGTGAAAGCTTTTTTATCCAGAAAGTGTTCAGACTGCCTGTTCAAACAGAGAAAATGTTATGAAGGAGCATAAATGGCTTCAGTTTCATTTTGTAATATCGTTTCTACTTTCCATCATGTCTTTGTGTGATGATGCCTCAGATATTTAGTGTTTTTAAAATAATTAAGCGCAGTCATTCCCCAAAATGTTAATGATTTTGTAGTTAAAGTAAGTGGATGTGATTTAACTTTCTTTTTTAAGACAATATTTCTTTTGTTGTTATGCAGCCGGATGTTTTCCTGAAAAGCCCGTTTCTGTGACACTGCTTTTCAACCACTAAGAATGAGTTGTTTTGATCAGTTCCTCTCTCTGGCCACAGGACAGCAGTGAAATCCACTTTAAAGTGAAAATGACGACGCATCTAAAGAAGCTGAAAGAGTCCTACAGCCAGAGACAGGTAGGAGGAAATGGTCCCCAGCTGCTTCCTGCTGCTCAGCGATAGCAGTCAGATTCAGACGCCACGTTTTCAGACCCTCACCGCCCCCCTTTCTGCCGCCGTCCTGCAGAAGTTTCGGCTTCCACGCAGCAGATTTACCCTCATTCAGTCTAAAGCAGCTGCGTGGAAGCAGGAAACATGGAGGACAGGCTGGGCAGCAGAGCCCAGAGGAAACCCAACACGTGCGTTTGTTTGTGTTTGCAGGGCGTCCCGGCCAGCACGCTACGGTTTCTGTTTGAAGGCCAGAGAATCGCAGACAACCAGACCCCCAAAGAGGTAAACCTGCCCCAGACCCTTCAGTTTCAGCCACGCCTGCATGATGAAGCGTCACTTCCTGTTTCCCACTCAGCTACCAAGAGAAAAAGTTTCCAGAAAACCTCAAATATTAGCTGATCCAGTTATTGAGTTTGTGTTCCTGTCTATTAAAGTGATGATATTAATGGTTCTGAGGCTGGTGAACGTCTCCTTGTAGATTTTTAAACTTAAAGTCGATGCTCAGACTGAAACATGCTGCTCATCTACTGCTTAAGTCCGTAAACTTTGTGGTTTCCTGCTCTCTAACCCGCTCTGTGTCTCTGGCAGCTGGGAATGGAGGACGAGGACGTCATCGAGGTGTATCAAGAACAGACCGGAGGACTTTGGAACCATTAAGCTCCCCTCATTATCAGTCTTTTTCTTATCTTTTTTTAAATTTGATTTTGTATCTATGTATTTTTGTTCTGTTTCAAACCATCTGGATCAAAATGGACTCGCGCAGGGCTTCCACATGTCGGCGGGGGGGCAGAGGCTGAGCAGAGACCAGGAGCTCATGCTGCCCACCCCCGAAACGGCATTCAACGCCAGTCTTAGACCCAAACTCACCAGGAAAAGCATCTCTTTGGGGTTTTTTGTCCACTTACAGACAGAACTCAATGTTTCGCCCACAGTCGATGAGCTTTGTTTCCGCGTTGCTGTGTTTTGGATCCATACAAATCCACCCGACATCTAGAGTTAAATGTTTGCATGTTGTTCTCTTAGATCTTTAACAGTTGTGCTCAGACCCATCAGAGCCACTTCACTGCCATCAGCGGCTGGTCCTGAGCAGCAGGGTCTACCTCTGCTGGACGGGCTGCGGGTCCCTGGAAACAGGAGCCTGGAAACAGAAACCGGCTCTGGAGGCCCGGGTTTTGTTTCAGTTTGGACTCTTTCTCCTGGAGAAACCAAGCAAACGAGTCCATCCAGTTGCTGTCCTTCAGGTTAAAGTGGGTTTCAAAGTTTCACACGCATTGTGTGCTCGATGGCTGATTTTACACACTGTCCGGTAAAAAGAGTGTGAGCCCATTTCTGTGGGGCTGGGGAGTTAGAAGGCTAAGCCCCGGCCGCCACATCTGGCCCTTCTGCCCTTTTTAAAGCGATCTTTGTGCTTAACTGCTGTGTGTTGTGTTCAGTATTGGTGTGTTTGAACGGTATGCTATGTGTAATATCTCCAGTGTCGTCCTTAATTTATGCTCGAGGGGTTCCTTCTGTGCTCATGTGTCAAAATATAGAGGAAAACTTTTCCCGCTGACAGTCAAAAAAGTATTTTAAACCCAGACGTTCACATCCGTTTGTGCAAAGAAAAGAGAATCTTCACAGCCGCTGTTCTGTGGTGTCAGCGCTTCTTTTAGAGTTTGGAGTTGGGTTTGTGATCTGCTGTGGGTGGAGGATGTTTGTGGGATGGGTGAGGAGGTTTCAGCTCCCTCTGGAGCCCCCTGGCGGCAGCATGCAGGCTGAAGTTCCTCACCTGTCCTTTAACTGGCTCCCTGGACTGTTTCTCCCGGTCCGGAGGCAGGAAGAGGCTGGATGGGACTGTCCACCACCAGCAGAATGTTGATACAGATGGTTTGAAATTCTGGAAATGAGCTTTTGCTTTTTTGAATAAAATATTTAAGAAAAAAAAGGCCGCCTATCAGTTTTTATTGTGCACTTTTGTTCCCTCTAATTTGAGAATAAGAGCCCCTAACTCAAGGGATGGGCCAGTGTTGTGTCCAACTCATAAGCAGGTAGTTTGTTCATTTTAGGATGTCTCTGTTTGGCTTTTTTTTCCATTTTAAAGTTCCAGAAAAGTCAGGCACTGTTCAGTTTCTGATTTTACTCATAAAAATAACCCACAATGCACATATGTGACCAAAACGACTCCTTTTACTTCTGACACATTTACAACATTTCTTTCTCTAAACTAGTTCCTGGAATAACAAGCTTCTTCCATCTCGCCCCTTTCTGCTGCATGGCAGTTTGTTCTTTAATCATCATTAAAATGGGTTCATTCACATGATATATAGCTAAATAAAAGCTGACGAGCTGAATTTAAGAGTTGAGCATCCATCCCGTTTTATTCATGATTAAGTCATGAGGAGCCCAGAGGACAGATCACTGTGCAAATCGGGCTTTAATCAGACACGAAATTACATGAAAATGTCTCCAACTTCATTTTGAACCATCTGTTTTGGAGACGATTTTCTCTTTATTGTAAACCTTAACTCATAAAAATGGGGAGAAAAAAAGAAAGACTAGCTCTTACACAAGCATCCCTCTGAGGAAGAAAAACCTGTTCAGAGCTGCACACCCACAGACTTCCACTCCTCTCTTGCTACATCTTTAAATGTTTCTACCATCTTTAATCAATTTAAAAGAGTTTCCAACAAGGTTAAAGAGTGCAGGAAAGCCCTTTTCCTGCATGGGTTCTTGGTTTTTAGTCCACTTAGTGGCTCATAATCACCTTTCTCTTCCATCTGAAGCCTGAAGGAAGATCAAATGAATGCATTAGTTTAATGAGTCCACCACACACACTTCAAACAGGAAACCACGGCAGCCCACATCAGTCCAGGAGACCACCGGGGCCGAGGCCACAGAGGCACATCTACCCAATCCATCCAGAAAAAACAGAGAAACAGCTTTCCTCCCAGTTTCCACAGAAATATCCTGCTCCGTTTCAGGGTTTCAGACATCAGTCAGGATCTTCTGGATCAGAGCTCGAAGGCTCAAACTCTTCGATGAATCCTTAGAATAAAAAACATTAGATATGTAACAGGCCAAGCTCTTTCTTAAAAAGGCTACAATAAATTACTACAGAGCAATTCTTTAATCTGAGAACACATTGGGCAGAGCTTTCTGTACATAAATAACAGGGAGGCCAGAGGTGGGACCCGGCTCTCCTCAGGAGTCCTTCAGCCTCTTCATCTGAGCTTCAAAAGGCTTCAAACACTCACTAAGTCCAAGGAAAACACACACCAGTGAGCCACATGAAGCTGATACTCATTTCTCAAATGGAATAACATCACAGAGGCCTGAATAGCTGACAGCGTCGGGGTTTCATCCCCGTTTGAGCCCACCCGCCCCACAAAAATCAGCATCCTGCAAATCTACCAAAAAGTGGAGAACGAGAAAAAAAACCCAGGACACTTTAACCGAAGCTTCATTCCGGTTTCCCACCTTCAGGACGAAGGTTTTAAATACCAGTCAGAGAACATTGGTCTAAAACCCTGTATGGAGCATAGACGCAGGGTGGGAAGCCTCCCACTGGTGGCTGTGGGTCAGTGAGTGGGCTTTAGACGGGATCAGTCCGGGACCAGAAGCAGGAGCGGGTTTTTCCATCTGAGGGGCTCAGAGCAGCGGCCTCTGCTCCAGCGGTAGGCTCTCCACCAGGCATTTCAGCTGCTCCTCGCCCAGCTTGATTTTGTCCTCCAGCTTGCGCTGCTCGATGATGAGGGCCGACTTCATCTTCACAAAGTGCCGGTAGTCGTCCAGGCTCTCTGCCTCCAGGTGGGCCTCCATGATGGCGGCCACCAGCCGCTCCCGCCGGTCCAGGTTCTCCTTCAGCTCCTTGGCGTCCTCGTGCTGCCTCATCAGCAGCTTACGTTTCTCTGTGAGGGTTCGCTGTGGAGGAGGGAGGCAGAGTAGTCACCTCTCTCAGACGGAAAAGACCATTTCTCTAAACCAGCTGCAGAACATCCAGAATGCTGCTGCTGGAGTTCTGACCAGAACCAAGAAATACGACCAGGTCTCAGGTCTCTCCACTGGCTTCCTGTCCCTCAGAGGATAGACTCTAAAACAGCTCTGCTTGTGTACAAGTCTCTTAATGGGCAAGCACCAAAATGCCTTTCTGACATGTTAGAGAACCAGGTTCTGGTCTCCTGATGGGGCCCAGAGTCAGCACTAAACCAGGCGAAGCTTCATTTCAGCTCCATACTCCTAAAATCTGGATCAGACTTCCTGAAGATGTGAGACACACTTCAACTCTGAATGTTTAAATCCAGGCTGAAAATGCTTCTGTTTAACTGTGCATGCAGAAACCAGATCTATTTTATCTGCACCCTTCACTTTTCATCTGTCTAATTTTGATTATTTTTCTTTTTATGTTTTTCTGCTTTTAAATTCTCTGTGAAGTCTTGTACACGAAATGTGCTATATCAATAAACTTGCCTTGCCTTTATCTCCATCCTGAAAACAGATCTGGGGCTTTTCCAGAATGAGAGAGGAGGGGAACCTGGACCCTGGCCGCAGAGGTCCAGAGCCTCGGGGTTCAGAGCGCTTACCTTCTCCTCCTTTGGAGCTTCGTCTTCCAGGCTGTTGAGGGCGTTCTCCACCCGGGCCAGCCGCCCGGACAGGGACAGCAGGAGGCTCACCACCTTGTCCAGGTCGCCCACAAACATGCGGAACTTGTCGATCTGGTTGGGCTGGCAGAGGCGCTGCGCGGTGGCCTCCACCTGCCGGCCCAGGGCCTCGTTGTCCTCCACGTCCTCCTGCAGGCTCTGCCGCGCCTCCCGCAGCACCTCCAGCTTCCGGGCCAGGCTGCCGATCAGCTCTTGCTGGATAAGCCAAGAAGAAGAAGAACGTCTGAGAACGTCTCAAGATAAAAACGTTTAAAGAACCTCCTTCCGAGTGGCCTTTTTACCTTTTTGCTGGCGAGATCCACGTCCAGCTCGTCCTCGGAGTCCTGCTCCTCCAGCTGGCCCTGCATGTCCTTCATCTTGATGAGCAGCTCGGCTTTGGGGGCCGAGGTGTTGTAGTAGGAGGAGCTGGGCACCAGGGAGGCGGCCGCCGAGCCAGACGCCTCATCGTCCTCCCTGCTGAGGACAGAGACACACAGCAGGCTGGAGCCTCTTCAGGAAAACACCGGCAGGCCTGATCTCACAATGCTACGATTAACTGTTTAATGTGTCGTTCCAAGATGGAGGAACGATCTACCAAGAGCTACAAGAACAGCAGAGTCCCTGTCTGTCTTCAAGAAACTCTTGAAAACCCCCCTCTTCAAAGAGCATCTCCTATCCTAACCCTAACCCGTACCTCTACCCCCCACAGCTCCTATCCTAACCCCCACTACCTCTATCTCTATCTCACCACTGACTCTGATCAGTGTTTCTCCTCTATATAGCTTATTGTCATAGTGATGAGAAATGGAATATTGTGTCTACTCTGTAAGTCGCTTTGGAGAAAAGCGTCTGCCAAATGCATAAACACAAACATAAACTGTCCCTGTTTGAGAAGCTGCTGTCAGCCAGCACAGAACCAGAACCAGAACCAGAACCAAACACCTCCACGTGAACTTCAGAGGAAAACAAAGACAGAACCTGGTTTGTCCACTAGAGGGCAGGCTGTCAGAGCCAGGCTTCCCTTCAGCTTCCTCATCTCTGCTTCAGGAGCTTTTCTGGCTTTAGCCTTATGTAAAATCTTCAAATGGAACATTTAAACTCTTTTTTTCATTCAGAAGCTTCCACATCGCACAGCTGCTTCTTCCTACAACCATCAGCTCTTAATCTGTGGACGCTTCTCTGCTGGTTGGTCCCACCTGTCTGGGATTCTGGGGGGCGAGGTGGGCAGCCTGGACCCCACCGAGGCCCTCCTGCGCTGCTGGGCCCCCTCCAGGACCCTCTCCTCTGGGGAGAAGAGCCCCTCCATCAGGTCCATGGTGGTCCTCCGGCCGGTCTGGTCCAGAATGTCCGCCAGGGTCCGGTCTTTCCCCACGATGTCCCTGGCCAGCTCCTCCCTCTTCGCCTCCTCTTCCAGGTGCTGAGCCCCACGTGGGCTGGACTCCTGGTCCTGGTCCTGGTCCTGGTCCTGGTCCTGGCCCAGACCAGGGTCTGGGTCCAGAGCTGGCTGGCGGGTGAAGGCGCTGAAGGGGGAGGAGGGCTGGCGCTCTGTGGCCAGAGGGGGGGTGGAGGCCTCTAGCCCAGTTTGGCCGCAGCCCTGGGGCAGGTAGGCCGGGCCCCCCCGCTCCAGGCTGCCCTCAGAGTGGACGATCCTCACCGGGACTTTCTTCACCGGGCTGCCGGGGTCCAGCGGCGCCGGGGGCTCTTTGTCCGACCTGGATGGGAAGCAGAACCGTGACTTTGTGTCCAAAATCCCCAAAGCTGGTTTAAAAACTGATGGTTCAGCCACATCTGGAG